GTTTGGGGGGGGGGGGGTAGGGGGAGACAGGCAGGGGCTTCATGAAATGCTGGCCTGGCAGCAGAGGTAGAACTAGGCCCTGTGGCCAGCCCCGCTTCACTCCTTTTGCTGGGATCAAGTCTAAAGAGGTTCAGATATGGAATGAAGGAAGCAGGCAGAGGAGTGGGCTTCAGTCCCTCTTCTTCATGACTTGTTAATTGGTCAAGCAAGATCCTTCTTATCTACCTGGACAAGGTGGTCCCACCATGGATGCTATGGGACCAGGTCATAGGTAGACAGATAGGCTTGGCCTGGACATGCACTTGGCCCTTCCTCTGCTTAAACACAGAAGAGCCAGGGCCTATGCAGGCTATCCGACTGTCCCTAGAGGGCTGGGCCAGGTCTCAGAGTGCAGGTACCAGATCCTATATGCTGACCACTGCTAGCCTTCTGCCCTCTTGCTGTAAGGGCTGGGCCAGCAGGCACCTACAGTTCAGAACAAGGCCTCTTGAGGACAGCGTAGAACCAGTGAAGGTCTGGGTGCCTACACCTGATGTACATGGCCCAGTGCAGACAGGGCAGAGTACCTGGGCCATGGCTGGCACAAGCATCCTCCCTGTGACCTGCTGCCCCAACATGCCAACACTGTCCATCAGTAGTAGGCTCCCTCTCTTGACCAATGTGCTACTGTTGTAGGATGGGCAGAAGCATGGGGTAGTAGTGTGTGAAGGAACCTGAAGAGGCTGATGCTGTCCTGTGCAGAGCAGATGGAGGCTGGATTTGTGTGGTGTGAGTATGGCTATGTGCCCACCCTGCTGGGCTGTGAGTAGTCTTAGACCATGCTACATCTACAGATGCCTCCCTCTCAGTCAGCCTCTAGCTCAAAGTAGGTCCTGCCGGCCATGAGGTCAAACTGCTTCCTGCCAGAAGCACATCACACGGGCAGGTGGCTTTCTACTTTTATTTGGGAACACAAAAGGCACCTTGCCCTGTACCTGAGGACCAACCAACAGGTGAGCCTCAGGTGGGTGGAGCCCTGCTGGAGGAATAGAGCAAGGACCGGGAGGCAGTGGAGGAACTGGGGGGTTCTGGGTGCACAGAATCCCCAAGGTCTCATCTTGACACCTAGATTGGTGAGGTCTTGCCTCACTGGGTGCAGCTTCGTACCTGGACAGGGGGCAGCTCAGCAGAGGCCACCATTGCCCACCCCAACAGCCAGCCAAAGCCTTCTTCAGGCCCTGCTCTGCAGGGGCAGGGATGGGCGAGGCTTGTGGTAATGTCTGTTAGACATATCACCTAGACTGGAAGTGTGGATTGTGGAGGGCTCCCATGGGCTTCCCTGGGAAGGAACCAGGGGAATTTCATGGAAGCAGCCTCACACCAGGTCAATCAGGTCACATCAGGTCAGCTTGTCTGGGGCCTAAGGTCTCAGCAAAGTCATAGTGGGTAGCGGATTGAGAAGGAGGCAGGACCAGTCAGGATCCCAGCGGAGGGCGGACCCATTAACCCCAGTTCATCCCACTGCTGCCCAGGCTCCAGGAGGAGAGAAGTGGGGTGACAAAACACCCCCAAGCAGCCTTAACACCAAGGGAGGGAGGGATCCCAGTGGGTATGAGAGTGCCAGGCCCCGGGCTGCAGGGTGCCAGACCCTGCATTCATAAGGCAAACAGCATATCATCATCTTTCTCCTGGGTCTTCTTCCGAGGAGCTGTGCCAAGAGAAGGTCTCGGGGGTCCCTCAGCTGAAGGGCTGGCCAGGTTGGGCAGGCGATCAGCAGCTTTGGCCCGTTCTTCCAGGAATTTGTCAAATTCTAGTGGGAAAGAGTAGGCTTGTAGGCTAGAGCTGAAGAGTGACAGGGACAGGGACAGGGACAGGACTATTACTTTCAGGGGAGGGGTAGGTAGACGGGGTGATCTGTTACCTTCACTGGTGACACCAGAGGGCTCCTCAGCACTGTTCCCCTGAGAATGCAGAGGGAAAGATAGAGGTTAGTACTGCTGGGAGTACACACAGCCTGCCACACAGTGGGCAAGGGCAGGCCTTTGGGACCAGGACCAGCATTGATGTTGTGCTTAAGTTGATCCTGGGATTAGGACATAGGCCTTGGTTCACTCCTTCCTGAGCTGCAGGGCTCCAGGTTGTTCCAATTTCTCTGAGCCATGACTTGTTTCTCCTTCGAAACAGGGAGGCTGGGTTGAAGAGATGGCTTAATGGTTAACAGCTTACATTGTTCACACAGGACCAGAGTTCAGTTCCTAGCACAAAAATCAGGCAACTCATAACAGTCTATAACACCAGTTGAGGGGAACCAATGCCCTCTTTTGGCCTCTGTTGGCACTGCACTCTCTCTCTCTCTCTCTCTCTCTCTCTCTCTCTCTCTCTCTCTCTCTTTTTCTTTTTCCTGAGAGAGGGTTTCTCTGTAGCTTTGGAGGTTGTCCTAGAACCCACTCTGTAGACCAGGCTGATTAGGGCTGGTGAGATGCTCAGTGGTTAGGAGCACTTTTTTAAATTATTTTTATAATTGTAATTAGACCAATTTTAAATTAGAAACAAGCTTCTTTTACATGTCAATCCCAGTTCCCTCTCCCTCCCCTCTTCCCCTGCCCCCACACCCCCTATCACAACCCCTTTCTGCTCCCCAGGGGTTGAGGCTTTCCATGGGGGATCTTCAGATTCTGTCTTATCATTTGGAGCAGGGCCTAGACCCTCTCTATGTGTGTAGCCTGAGAGAGTATCCCTCTATATGGAGTGGGCTCCCAAAGTCCATTCGTGTACTAGGGATAAATACTGGTCCACTACCAGAGGTCCCATAGATTGCCCAGGCCTCCTAACTGACATTGTTGTTCAGGGGGTCTGGAACAGTAGGAACACTTTTTGCTATTGTAGAGGACCTGAGTTTTGTTCCTAGCACACATGGCTGTTTAACTCTAATTTTAACTCTAGTTCCAAGGGCTCTAATGCCCTCTTTTGATCTGTTCAGATGCCAGGTACGCATGTGGTGCACATATGCACATGCAGGTAAAACATTCATACACATAAAATAAATAAATCTTTAAAAATTAAATCTTTTTATGTCAAGAAACAGGGAAGATGGGGCTGGGTGGGGTGGCGCACACCTTTAATCCCAGCACTTGAGAGGCAGGAGGATCTCTGTGAGTTCAAGTGCAGCCTGGTCTATAGAGTGAGTTCCAGGACAGCCAGTACTACATAGAAAGATAGAGGGACCCTGTCTCAAAACAAACAAACAAACACACACACACACACACACACACACACACACACACACACACACACTAAGGAAGGAAGGAAGGAAGGAAGGAAGGAAAGAAAGAAGGAAGGAAGGAAGGAAGAAGAAGAAACTGTAGCCGAGGCCAAGCTGGTGGGTGTTGGAAGCTAAGCATAAGACATCAAGCCCAGGTGTGGTGTCCAGTAGCACATTGCTTTCCTCCAGGATTTAGAGACGACTGCCTAACTCCATGGATGGAAGGCTGTTTGAGCTAAAGCTGTGCTCAAATCTGGCTGGAGGTAAGCTATATCCCATTAACCACCCAAACATGTGGGACACGGGGATGGAATGAGGCTTCTGCCTAGTCCTTGGCCTGATGTGGGTAGAACCTAAGTCTTGCTGCATGGACAGTGGCCTTTGGAAGGGAAGTGCCCAAGCTGTCTCTGGTCTTTATTGCCCACAGAGGTGGTGGCAGAAGGTGGGGGGAGAGGCCCTGATGCCAGGTTCAGGACTTCATGCCCCTTTAGAAAGTGGGGGCCAGGACCTGGGTCCCTGGTAGTTATCAGCCTTCTGATAGGACATGGGGTGATTATGATGCCTCCCTCTGAGAGGCTTCAGGTCTCCAGGGGCTATTGTGGGGACACGGTTTATAGGCCTCTTGGTTTATAACCAACACCATCTCCCAAATGATAGCTGACACATATAGGGACCTCACACCAGGAGTATGATCTGGGACAGGGAGGCTGTTGCCTGGGAGAGGATGGTGGGTGACCAGATGAAGACATATATTATATTTACCGATCTTTACCCATCATTCATCAGCCCCCGCCCCCACAAGACAAATGGATCCCTGCTTGGTAGGCAAGGAGTAAGACCCAACTTACCACGTCTGTGGACAGCCACTGCTCAATGTCCTCCATGATGCGGGCCTGGGTGGCAGGGATCTGCAAGGAAGGCAGCAGTGAGGTGGGTGGGGGCAGTGGTCTGGGTGCCAAGGAGGAAGCTGAGTAGTCCTTGAAATTCACTCACCCACCATGATCTGAGTTTCCTTTGCCTCCTGCTGGGGTACACATCCTGGGATTACCTGGTCTAGCTGCCTAGGACCATGTGTAGTGGTGCCATGCTGTGGGTGAACGAGGCTGTGGGTGAAGGAATACAGACCCAGAAGAATACAGGGACTGTGCTCCCAACAGCTAGAGTAGCAAGGGGCAAACAGGAGCTACTCCCCACATGGAGAGACTGCACATCTGATCCCAGACAAGGACAACCCTGGTCACATGTGCTCAGAGCAATGCCAGGAGGCTCTGTCTCTTGGCACCTTGGCAGTTCCAGTTAATGGCACAAGCACAAATAGTAGGCTCCAAGAGGAAGGAGGTGCCCAGTGTTCAAAAAAAGCCCAGGCTGGGCAGTTTTCTAGATGGAAACATTTGACTCTGGGCCCAAACACATGGGCTGTCACATGGTGGCTCCTAAAAGGAACAGGGCTGGGGTCTTCCTCTGTTAACAGTTTCCACAGTGTCAATCTGGTTTGGAGGTCATAAGCACAGACATGGTCTGCTATGGCCCTTGGAGTGACTCCTGGCACCTTACAAAATGTCCTTGTACTTGTCTTCTTCACCTGACAACATGACCATCATCCAGTGTATTGTCAGGAGGAGGTAAGACCAGCAGAGAGCCTGTACAGAGGAAGGAAGCCTGGGAACTCTAAGTTCCTGTTTGGTAGTTTTTAGACATAAGAGAGCTAGAGTTTCTGACCAAACCAGTTTAGGGTCCCAGCTTATCACCTAGTGCAGAGAAGAGGCGGAGGCAGCCTTCCAAGGGCAGGTGCTCTGGCAGGCGGGGTCTTCCCAGCTAACTGCTGCCCCTTGACTGCTGGAGGAAGGAGTAGTTGAATCTGAGCCTCTTCTCTTGTGGCTGCCTTGGGTCATGTTCCCCAGTACCAACTCTGTGGCCTGGTCCCTGCTCATATGCTTTGCCTGACCACTGATCATTAGGTTTTTTACACTACCACCTCTCATTTCAGGCAAAGAGCCTCCCCAGCGTGGTAAGCAGGAGGGTTCAGTTCAGGGCCAGTGGTCGGTGGTAGCCTCTTTCACCTAGATGTTCATGTGCACATATGTGACTGTGTGTGTATACACAGGTATGGTAGCAGAGTCAAGGGGATGAAGGAAGTTACCCAGGGTGCCTCACTACAGGATAACCATGATGGGAGGAGCCCAGAGCTTCCAGGGTGGGGTAATGTGAAAGTAACAAGAAAGTCCTCATCATTCCCAGGAAACCCCAAAGGATGGCCTGCATACTTAAGCTGAACAACAGCATCTGTCAGCCAGACTGGTGACTACCAAGAGCTTCTGAAGGGCACCCAAGTTTCAGAAAGACTACTCATTGGCTTCAGAGTTACCAACAGTGAAGAAGAACTTTCTAGGCTTCAGATCATGTGGGTGGTGGAGGGCTTCCAGTCCATTATGCACTGACCTCCCTGTACATAGTACACAGATCAGTAAGCCAAGCCCACTGCTGCACCCTAGGGAGTGAAGGAAGGGAATCTGGCCCTTGGTGCAACAACTACACATACAAGTTGTGAGTTCTGTTGAGTCTTGGACAAAGGCGCTGCCAGCCAGCTCCATTTTGGACTTTGATCTTGCTGTCTCATCCAGGTAGTCAGTGAATTATGTGGTCTTGCCTATAGTGAGACTTAAGCCCTTGGGAGTGGGTGCTGGCTTGGTCTTCAAAAATTGTGTCCAACAGATGGCTGCTCAAGCAAAGGGGAAAGGGAGTGAACACATGATCATGCTTGTCAGTGAGTGGAGCTGTGCACGTGTTTCCCACTGTGGGCTACAGCAAGGTGCTGTGGGAGCCTGGAAACACAACACTGACCATGCTTTTGGCGGCTGTTTGTTTGAGAAGATGCCCCTGTCTTTGAGACGCAGCAGGAGTGGACTGTGTGGTGACTCCCACGAGGGAAACATGAGGGCTTAGCATAGGGCCAAACACAGAGCATAGGCTCAAGAAGTGATGGTTCAAAAGCATGCACAGGTACAGAGGCCCAGTGCAGGTATGCTCTGCCGCACCCAGTGGAGACCCTTTGGATTCCATGAAGCCTGTCTGCCCCAGTGTTTTGTGCCTGTTCTGCTCTGACTTGAAACGGACCCCAAGCAAAGAGCTGGGAGGCACAGGAGTGCAGATGGAGAGTTCCTGGGAATCACCAGATCCTGCTCCATTTGAGTGAGGTCCCTCCTGTGCCCAAGGCTTTCTTTTCTTTTCTTTTTTTTTTTTAAAGATTTTATTTATTTTGTATACAGTCTTCTGCCTACATGCCAGCAGAGGACACAAGATCTCATAACAGATGGTTGTGAGCCACCATGTGGTTGCCGGGAATTGAACTCAGGACCTCTGGAAGAACAGTCAGTGCTCTTAACCGCTGAGCCATCTCTCCAGCCCTGGCCAAGGCTTTCAAATGGCTTTTACCTCACCTAGGACATCGTTTATGGTCCTAGCCACTCAAGAGATCTTCCCACTGGGGAGGGTGACCACAGGATGCTCAAGTGGGCATGTGGCTGCCACTCAACACACAGTCAGGAGATTAATTGGACTTAAAAGAGTGCCTAGGAGTCTGGGTTTTGGTGGCACACACCTTTGATCCCAGCACTTGGGAGGCAGAGGCAGGTGGATCTCTGTGAGTTTGAGGCCAGCCTGGTCTACAGAGCGAGTTCCAGGACAGCCTCCAAAGCCACAGAGAAACCTTGTCTCACAAGACAAACAAATAAAAAGCGAGTGCCTGGGAACTCTGACTGTTGCTCCAGGGTCTCCATTTTATTCCCCTCTGCTCACACTCCTGCTAGCCAGAGAGTGCTGCTCTCGAACAGGCTGCTCTGAACTAGTACTGCTGTTAAAGTTCCAGGGAGAGATGAAACAGGGCTAGGGGGTTACTTTGCCTGATGACCCAAGGCTGCAGGTGAAGTGGATGCAGGACCGTACTGAACACCGGTTCCTGAGGTAGGATTGGGTTGAAATCCTTGGTGCCTCCTTGGCTCTCAACTGGGAATAATCACATTAGCCACAGAGAGTCAACTGAGAGCAAAATTGAGAGGCTGTGCCCAGCCAATTCTGAGCTCATAGTGGGCCCATAGGCCCTGATTTTTGGGAGGCTCCCAGTAGAATGGGACCTCTATGCTTACCGCTCTGGTGTTCTGCTGCCGGGCATCCAGGGCCCCAGCCAGGCCATCTGTGGTTTGGGGGGCTTCATATTTGACCCTGAAAGACAGAGCAGCATGACATCAGATGCTGCCTGACCACACCAGGCTTCACAGACAACATGAGGATTGAGAGGACTGGGTGAGCCAGAGTTGGGCTGGTCTGAGCAGGAGTGGCTCAAGGCTCCTTCTCTCCAAGCCTGGGACAAGAAAAAGGAGCTCCATTTTCTGCTGTTGCGGATTATGCTCAGATATGTGTCCATAATGACATGCATCAACCAAGCATGAGAATCTAGGGATGGCATGTGATCAAAGACCAGGAACAAGATCACATATGGCTGTGACCATACTGAGCCAAGTTGAAAGACTAGGAAATAGATTGTGACCCCATGCCCACTGAGAATTTTTGAGCAGTTCCCACCTGAATTTCAAAGGGACCCATAAGTTCCTTTTTGAGTAGTTCTCATCTGAATTTCATCAATTGTGGTTCAGTTGCAACAAAGGCACAAGGACCTCATAGCTAGGGTCCAGTCCTGTCTCTGTAGGGTGGGGACCAAGCATAGTGACGGGTACAGGAAAAACAAAGGCCTAAGATGGGTACAGATGGATATGCCAGCCAAAGGGAGTGTCAAAGATGCAAATCCGCTAGCAAGTGCTTCCCCTGCCCCTGTTGTCCCCTACTGCCAGCATGAGGAAGAACTTCTGTGTATCAGGATCTGCTCCCTTTCTCACATGTGTGCCCAGGGAAGGGCCAGAGCTAAGCTCCTTCACTTTGCCTCCAAGTCTTTGCACATGCTGTTCCTAGGACCTGAGATGCTCCCTAAACCCCTGTCTGGCTTGAGCCCTCTGAAGAGCTACCTGCCCTGCCAGCCAAGCACTGTACCACACAACAACGGCCATGCATACCACTACATGAAGACTGCTGCCCTGAAGGGCAGGCTGCATGTATGCCTTCCCTGTGGAGGGATGATGGTGCAACAGTACATCCCAGCCATGCTGGCAGACTAGTTCAACAGTAGGCACTTTCCAGTTTCCCCAGCTGTTTTGTATGCTGGGGCCCATGTGGACAGGCTACACTCCTGAGTGCAGGTCCCACTAGACTCATTAGCCTTCATCTGCATAGCAGCCTTAGCAGCACCCTTAACTCCATGGCAATTGTAAGCTGCTAGTTCTAGAGTCTCTGGGCTTGGGAGTATAGACTGTTTAGGGTAAAGGCAAATCTAGTTCACAGCTCAGTGTGGACCTGCTGGCTGCAGACTGTCAGATTGTACCTGGATCTGCAGTGAGCACAGGGAATCCTCTCTGGCAAGTGTCTGCTGTTCAGTGACAAAGTTCCCAAAGACAGAATAGTCACTAAGGAGTCATGTGGGAGCAATTAGGAGGCTTCTTTAATCTAGAACTTTCCTTGGTTGTAAGAACCATAGCTGCCCACAGCTCAGCTAAGGGGGTCATAAACAAAGGGATAACATACACTAATGAAGCCAGAGTCTCCTCTGGGGATGAGGATGGCTCTGGGACAATAGCCAAGATTTGAAAGTCCCTAAGGCTTTATTAGGGGGCTTCCTTGCCCCTAGGGGTATGGGACTGGCTGCATATTGCATAAGACAGTGGGCTAGCCAGACACAAAATTTTGGACAAGAGTCTGAAGACTCTGAACCTGGTGCTGCCAAATGCTAGCCACTTGTCCTGTGGCTTATAGCTAGCCTTGGTTCTGGTTCTGGTGAGATGTTGACATCCCTTCCCTACTCATCCCTTCCTGTCTATAGACCACAGTGCTCTCCAGGCCATGCTGGACTGAACTTAGGGACTGTGTGTCTTTTTTCCTGCCTGTCCACTTCCAATCTAGATTCCAATCTAGATGGAGAGCAGGATGGAACAGGAAACTTACCCTTTCCGTTGGTCAGCCAGTGAGCTGCCCCGAGTCAGAGCAAACATGTCAAAGTCATCTTCCAGGTGACCTGAGGTCTCCAGCGACTGCAGGCCAGCTCTCACACTGCTGGAGCCAAGGTCTGCAGAGACAGAAAGGCCAGGTGAGACATCCACCTGCTCTTCCTTGCTCTGTCTGGGTCTAGGGTTGTCTGCTGAGAGAGCACTAGGGTTTAGGTGGAAGGAGGTGGGCACACAATCACTTTCTCCTGGCTGTGATGAGGATCAGAGAACAGGAACAACACTGCCTGTGACATCTGCTAGAGTAGCACTTCTCAATCTGTGGGCTGTGACCCTTTGGGGATTGAACAACACTTTTACAGATATTTATATTATGATTCATAACAGTAGCAAAATTACAGTTGTAAAGTAGCAATGAAATAACTGTATGGTTGGAGATCACCATTGCCCTAGTGGAAGAGGCTTGCCAGCAGGACAGTGATGACATCTGACTTTTCACAAGTGTAGTGTCAGTTATTCAAAGTGGGAGCTGTATGGATTCCTGGGGCTTGGCATGGAGCAGGCAGTTAATAACATTACACCCAATCCCAAGCAGGCCTAGTGGTGTAGGCTTGTAATCCTAGCCTTAGGGGAGACTGAGGCTAACCTGGGCTACAAAGCATGCTCAAGGACAGTTTAGGGAACTTTGTGAGTCTGTCTCAAAATCAAAGAATTGGGATACGGTTCCATGGTAGAGGGCTTGCTTAGCATACTTGAGGCCTTAGGCTTAATCCCAAGCACGTCACAATACAAAACACCAATGGAAAAGGAAAAAAAAAAAAAAAAAAAAAAAAACCAAAAACCAAAAAAAAAAAAAAATAACAACAAAAAGACCAGGGTGATAACTGCTCACATTTATCAAGAGTACAGCCAGGTTCACTCACCTGTAATCTCAGAATTCAGAGGACTGAGGCAGGAGGATGGAGAAAGTTCAAGGCAAACCTAGACAGGCTACTAAGCATTTAGCAACAACCTGGGTCAAGCCAGATGTGGTGGCTCACATCTTTAGTCCCAGCACTTGGGAGGCAGAGGTGGGCAGATCTCTGTGAGTTCAAGGCCAGCATGGTCTACAGAGAGTGTTCCAGGAAAGGCAAAGATACACAGAGAAACCCTGTCTTGAAAAACAAACAAGTAGATCAAAAGTCACTAAAATCAAATAAAACCTAAACTATTTACTCTTCTCAAAACACAACAAAAGAAATCAATAAATGATCTGGGAGTATAGTTCAGAGGCAGAACACTTGTCTAGCATGTGCAAGGTCCTGGGTTCTACCCCAAGTGCCACCAAAACACAGAGTGCCTCTGGCTCAGCCCTGAGGGGAGCTTGTTTCTGAGAGTCTCTAGATCTACTCTCCCAACCTTAAAGAAGGGCCCACTCCTTCTTCAAGTAGAAACTGATACCTGAGGCTGAGCAGCAGACTGAACACCCTCAGGTTGTTCAGGACAGGCTTTGTGGAGGATATCAGTGCAGAGGGATGGTCAGAGCGCAGAGGGATTTATTAGATCCAAGGGGCTCAGGGCATTCTCACAAGTTTTGACTCAAGTGCCCAACCCTGCAGCAAGATTTGGCTTGGGATCCCAGCAAAGTGAGACCTCGACCAATGTACTGCTGTTGGGGAATACAGGAAGGTACCCCCAGAACTTTGCGGCTAATTATACATTGTAACATAATCTAGGCTGGAGTGCCACTCCCCCTGTCCCCCTTTACTTACTCATTCTTGCCAGTTGGGATGAGATGTTGCTGGTGGCTGCTGGGTCAGGACCCATGTCAATCAAGTCAGCAGCTGGATCAGCTTCACTGGAGGCCTGAGATGATGGGAAATGCCTGGATGAACTTTCTGGATGCAGTGATCTGCCTCCAGGCCCCAACATCTCTGAATGGGAGTTGGAGAGCTTCTCCCCTTGCACTTGGGCTCCAGCTCAACTGTACCCTGGGAGGCTGGGAAGGCAAAGCCTTAATTCCCTTAAAGGGGCAGTGGTATAAGAAGTCAGAATAAACTTCCTCACGAGCCTAAAAAGCACCAGTACCCTGTGCAGGGCTTCAGGGAGAGGGTAAGAAGTTCCCTCTCACTTCCTATCAATACAGCACAACCTAGTCCCAGAAGAGATGCCTCTTACCTTGCCAGTCTGGCCTGTTCGGAACCGCTCAAACCTACAAGACAGAAAAGACCCTAGTCAAAAGGTCAAATTGACACAGTCCCCAGAGGACCCCCAGGGGTTTTTGAAATCACAGGTCACTACCAGGGTGATGATACACTGGTCCTCATAACAGATCCAGTGTTACTTGCTGTTCCCACATCACCACTAGCAGAGCCCCTCTTTCACTTGCACAAGGGTTGGAAATTATACAATCAGTTATAGGGCCACCCTGTAATTGTCAGCAAGAAATAAGTGACAAGAACACAGAGAAAAAGAAAGGGACACTCAGCAAGCAGAAGTGAGTGCTGCTTTGTCAAACTGTCTCAGTTACCTGCTCTACACTTAGGGAATGTGTGGGTAGCTCTCCAAGGTGGCCACTTGTCTCTAACCCTGATCTCCAAGGGGCTGAGGAGGTAGATGGAGAAGACCTTAGCGTGCATCCTGTTGGAGCTGTGGCCTGGTGTAAAGGACATCACTTCTGAATTCATCTTCTGGTCTAATGTCTCTGGGCACCTGCCTGCAAGCTGAGGTGATGACTTAGTTGAGAAACTGAGTAGCAGTGGTTGGCACTGGAATAAACTGGTGAGTTAGGGGCTTGATGCTAGGGTATTGCGGGGGTCTACCACACAGTGTATCTCAAGATGGCAAGGAGGAGGTCCTGCAACCTACTGAGCTAATGAACTGGAGAAGCTGGCCAGTTGTTGCCCTCAGGGGCCCAGCCTTCTCAACTGATTGCAAACCACACAGCAAGTGGAGAAAAAACAGAAAAGAAGCTCACCCAAATCGGAGGTGGATAAATAATAAACCCTGTTCCCAGGTAAGCAGAGAGCTCTGCTGCCTACTTTCATCACTCCTTACTACCCAAGCATCTCAGTGATGGGCAGGGAGCTGGAAGCACATGCCCCTGGTAGCCTGCTGGTGCCTGAAGAAGGCACAGGGGAAATGACTGTGGAGAAGCAAGGCCAGGGCCCAGGGTGGGGTGGGACTACCGTTCATGGCGCAGAAACACATTGTTGAGGTTGTCATTGACCATGAGCAGCTCCTCTGTCAGCTGCTCATTGGAGATGCGTGGGATGAGCTCCAGGACCCGCTGCTGCATGGCGCGGCAGGTGCGGTTGAGTTCCTGCCGGGAGAAGGGGGACATTCAGGCCACACAGCAGGACAAGGATGTCCCTCACAGATGGTACTTTAGTCTGGACCTGTTCTGGTGAAAGGGTCTTCAAGGCACCACAGAACAGCTTTTGGGGGTCTTGAAAACCTGTTTTCAAGGTCACTTCTCAGGTGTAATTATATTCTTTAATTGTGAAATAGGGTCTTACTATGTTGCCTAGGCTGCTGGTCTGGAGCTACTGGCCTCAAATGATCCACAGCTTTTGGAGTAGCTGGGACTGCTAGGCTTCACACTAACATGTAAGCACAGGAACTCACCATGTTAATGATTCTGCTTGTTTAATGGGACTGTGTGCAAACTGGAGAGTCAGGTTTCTGCCACCATATTTGTTTCCTCAAAAAACCTCAAACTCCTGGCACACGTGGTGAAGCCGCACAACCAAAATAGACTGCCTTAGACAGTGGAAGGAGAGGCCAACTTTTTATAGGTGCTCTCTGACTTCTATATGCATGCCATATAGAAGTATATAGACATGTACTCACGTGTCCTCACTCTTACACACATCATACACAGATGCTTGCTAAAGGGACAGACAAAGGCGGATGGAAGGATGACAATGATGATAGGCCTGAGGATGGGGCTGGGGATGTGAACAAGTTGTAACTTCTCTGACTGTTACCCCCACATATCCTGAGTTTTTGGCTCATTATTTTCACTGACTGACTGTTTTTCCTTTGGATAACCCTGTTTGGGGATAATTTTTGGATTTATTGAAGAGCTGCACAGAGTTCCTATGAGCCTTCACCCAGTTTGACATTTATCTAAATTAAGACATCAACATTGGTATTAACTAAACTATGCGTTCATGTTTTTTTTTTTTTTTTTTTTCCAAGACAGGTTTTCTCTGTGTAGCTTTGGATCCTGTCCTGGCACTTGCTCTGGAGACCAGGCTGGCCTCGAACTCACAGATATCCGCCTGCCTCTACCTCCCGAGTGCTGGGATTAAAGGCATGCGCCATCAACGCCCGGCTGCGTTCATGTTTTATCACCTTTTGCTAATATATTTTTTTCTGTTTCTGGATCCTACACTGTATTTAGTCATCATGTTACTGATTGGCTTTTAATCATAGTTAAACTTGTTTTGGAAAAAGAAAAATACTAAGAGGCTGGGTGTAGTGCTACGCATCTGTAACCCTGGCAGTCAGTGACTGAGGAAGGGGGATAGAGAATGCTCAAGACTTGGCTGCATGACACCTTGACTCAAAAATAAATATAACCTCCTTTGGTCTATAGGCAACGGGTAAGACTGGTCACTTCTTACCTGTCACACCTGGCCATGGACCATGGCCACATGCCAGTACACTTTCTCTCGTGAGGATCAAAGACGGGGCTCTGCACCAATCTTTGGTTTCCTGCGGCCCTTGTTCCTCACCCACTCCAGGCCAGGCCTCCTAGGGTTTCTTCATCTGCTCAGGGTGATTTTGAATGTTCCTGGGATCCCCTTTTCTTCCTCCCATTATGACCCACACCTGAGGATTATGTTCTGCTTCCTAATGGGCCTCTCTGGACAGCAGAACACAGCATGAAGCTGTTGCTCCAAGTCACAAATCTCAGCTTTGCTACCTACTAGCCATATGACCCTAAGCATGTTACATGACCTCTCTTTGCCTTAGTTTCCTGATCTGGAAAATGGGTGTGGTCAGGGTTATGAGTGAATGTATATCAAGTACCTACATTGAGCTTGACACATGCAGAGTGCGCATCATGTGGGCACTGACTCTGTGTCACCCTGCCAGCTGGCTCCAGTCTTCTGAGTAACCTAGACTGCTCATATGCACATGGACTTGGCTTGGGACAAATAAAACTATTAACAAGCCTTAGTCGACCCCCTTTGTTCATCTAGTTCTCACACTCAAGAGTCCACTCAGCTAAGGCACTCCTACCTTAGTCTGTCCCTCCCCCAACAAGTATACGGACCTCTGAACAGTCACAGGGGCATAAAGACCTGGCCTCAAACTGCTCTCTGGGGGCTGGTGGGAGAGTGATGCATGAACAGCACACTGAGCATTCTGAACATAAAACATCCTGTCCTTCCATGCATTCTGGAGACTCCTAAGCTTTGGTGATCCCTAACTTTCTTATTGCCTTCTTGATTGTCCTTTCACAGGAAGGCTGCCTGGCCCCCTTCACTCTAGTACCCCACCCCATATGAGGACAGGATCAGGCAACTATCATGACACCCAGGAGCAAAATCCAGTGTTTCCCACCTGTCTCACTCCTCTCAAAGCCCACATTGCTCTGTTCCTCTTGCTCCCTCCCTCAGATACTGTGAAAGGTGGAAATCAGTCCTTCCAGCTTCTTCCCAGTGCTGGCCATGCTATCAAGAGTGGGTGTAGGACTAGATGCTTCATATATACTACCTCATTTAATTTTCATGTCCCACTTGCATCAAAGCAGCCACATAGATGGAGAAAATGAGGGGCTATTTTGTTCAGGCTGGAAAGCAGCACAATTAAGATCTGAATTCTCATCTGATGCAAATCCAAGGTTCCTCTTTGTAAAATTTTCTATTGCTTCAGAGCTCCCAGAGAAACCAAAAGATTGCAGTGTGGGCAGGGAAGAAATAGGTGTAGATGTATACGGGGTCAGCTGGGTGGGGCTGACCCTGTAGGCAGGTTGTGTGCTCACCTGCAGTAGCTCCAGGTCTGTAGGCTCTATCTGGGTGGGCACCAGCTCTGTCAGCATCTCCGACATCACTCGCACATTGCCACTCACCATCTCCAGCTCACTGCGCAGCTTCCCAATCTGAAATGCATATAGTACGTAAGGGGAGAGAAGCCAGAATCTAGAGCCCATGCTGCTCCCACAGATGTGTGGTCCAAGAACTGTGCCACCAACACTTTCTCTGCACAACTTCTCTCCTGTCTGCTGGGGATGGTCTGTATTCAAGAGCCTGCAGAAGGTGCATCCCACCACACAGCCCCCTCTCAGAGATGCTACCAACCGCTGCCATCTCCAAAGCAGGAGCTGGGTGCAGGGGGAAGGCTGAAGGACGTGTGACAGTTGGAGGGAAATAAGCCAGTGAATGCGGTTGGAAGAACACTGGCATCTTTTGGGGCCAAGATGGCAATTAATGAGGCCCTAGGGAATGGCAGCTCTCCCAAGGGAGTAGGAAGGTTGCAGGTCCCTTATGTCTGGGAGGACAGAGTAGGCTCTAAGTCTTTCCCTCCCTTAAGAGAACTGGGATTCTTTCTTGTCTCTGTTCCATTTTGGGGCCCAGGCTCACTCAAAAATAAGTTCCAGGCCTACTTGAACATAAAACTCAGATCTAGTACCTGTACCGGTGGTCAAAGGGAATCAAGGTTCCTGGCCTGAGGACATATATAACAATGAACGTGGTCAATCAAATGGATTAGGCTGTAAAGGTCACTGTGTAGTCTTTTGTTTTATATTCTCATGGGCAACATGTCAATTTTGAATGATGAGAATCATATGAAGGCTCCCCCAAATGCATCTGGATCAAGAATCCCCTTATAATGGGATGGCTCATCAGTCTAGTGGCTAGGAGACTACATTTTGGGAAATACTAGTATATTCTAAATTGTGTGACTGCGTGACAATTTCATGATTATGACAGCAGCTATCATTTGCTGACTAGTTAATAAGTGCCAAGCACTGAACACAATATCATCACACATAGGTGCAGCTACCTTCAAGGATCTTGAGGATGAAGACATAGGCATGCAGAGACAAGTACCTGTCCACTGAAGCTGACCCCGCAGTGTCAGGCAGAATGGCTCATTTAATAACTCGGTGTGAGTGGACAAACTGTTCGTCACCAACTTGCCACTCCCAAACCCAAAGGGACCTCACCACAAAGGAGCCCAGGAGTTACATCACCACACTGCAATATTTTAACATGCCCCAAGAGGCAAAGGGGGCTATGAATTCAAACAAAAATACTCAGTTTTGTTTATCAAGAACCTTCTAGCTCTAAGCAATCAATCATTCCTAATACACAGACATTAGAAAAATTAGTTAAAACCAGAAGCAAGGTAGATAATTGTTTTGGATATCAGGGTAAATTTATAGTTTTGTAGGCTTTAATTACTGGCTTAGTATGCCAGCCTTCTCTAGTCATGGTTTGCTGTGGTGCAAGGTTTCATAACTTGTTATAAGATAGCATGGGAGTTTCTCTTTGTGGGGCTGAGACCCTGCACTGCACACAAGTGGTCAGGTGGCAGTTCTTTGGAATGAAGCTTCTGTCATCTGCATAATGTTTATGAATCTTTACCTCCAGCATGCTAGCAGCTAAGTGAAGTGTGCTTCACTGATGATGGTCTAAGATCCGTGAAGGCCTCAAGTCCAGCCCAGGACCACATCTCTAGTGACCAATGATCTAGATCACAGCCACCTAGTCTGGGGCAGGTGACCCTCTAGAGCTAGCCATAGGCTAGGGAAACTTCCCCAGAATCTCATGCTAGTCCTCCAAGCTTCTTCATGAGGCATGTGGGAAGTCTCAGTATAATACATATGCTCTTTCTCTTTTTGTGCAGCTCTCTTTCCTCTCTCTCTCTCTCTCTCTCTCTCTCTCTCTCTCTCTC